GATTATTAAAGAGTGTAAGAATAACACAAAGAATATTCTTAGATTACAACCACGAGACCAGCACACACATACGATTTTTATATCTAAATGGTCAGTACTTCTAAATAAATTTTAGTTTCAATAACTGTACCCCATTTAAATAAATTTAGTTAAAATTAGCCTATCCAAAAATCACCATCATAATTATCGGGCATATATACAGAATGGGCATTCATACGGTTATAAATAACCAGTTATTTGATGTCATACATCTTAATTGAATTACAATAATGCACACAGAAATATATTTCACTAAAGACATCCATTATCTGATTTCATACAAACGTGGCTTGTTTTGTTTATAAATCAATAAACATTGATATATTATTATGGGCGAGCATTGAGACAATAAAATACGCAAAAAATAATCGTTTTGGACGTAATGGTTCAGCCTTGTTTCACAATAATCCTATTGTATGAAAGTGCCTATGTCGGTAGCAGAGGCTTCACATGTGTTTCCAGGCTGTTGTTAATAGGCCTACTTCAATACTTTTCACTGAAATGGCAACCATACAAAGTAGGTAGGTATTTTATGTTTTTACCAACGTCTCAACAAAAATTCCCTGCGAATCCCTGTCATTAGGCTCCGCTTTGGATTTGGTCTCGACCAGCAATAAACCCAGCTTTCACATCATTAGGCTCTGACTCGTGATCCAATTTTTTGGTCGGCGCTTATTTAGTCCGGGACCAGTGTCTGGTCGCGGACTATGCAGTTCCGAGCTCGTGAACCGCCCCTTAATATATTTTAAATTAGGGGAATTATTCCTAAAACCCAACGGTTTTTGATCCGATGCCCGAGGATCAAGATTGTTTACTCAACCCAGGGTAACAAATTTAAAAAGTCTGGCCCTGACCAAAGACCCTTAATAGGCTTATTGAGCTATTGTATTAGCTAGTCTCCAAGGTCGTTTTGCCGATCAGATTAATGAAAACAAAAAGTAGAATGCTACATTTATTTCTGCCCTTAAGTTCCAACCTTCTGAAGAATCAGAATATAGTGGGGCCTCTTTGGTGAGAGCCGCTGAGGACTCATTGATTGTACATAGGCCTAAGTTACGGCCCTGAAAACATAAGTGACCATTTTGACCCATACTTAACAACCATAACTAATGACATTTTGAGAAAATTACATTGATTTCTGAATTAAAGTAGGCCTATTAAATTAGGCCTATTGAAGTATTCCAGTCATTTTTGTTACCGGATATTTGAATTTGTATAATAACTTTCTTACAAAGCTGTATTACAAATATTTCACAATCGAAAAAATTCACGCTTTTGCCCCAAACACAGAGGACGATTATGATTTTCCTTCACCACGGGAGACAAAGATGATGTCTACAAGACCGCAGAAGGTGTTGAAGAGTTTGCTGTTATTGTGGAAAACGATGTCAATCTTTCCAAAACTGTGAGAGGCGATCATGTCTACACAACTGTGCAGGAGATGTTCACCATTTTGCCATGATCGCAAAAGCTAACTAATGTTTCCATGACAGCGGGGGACAATGATAATGCCTAACTTACGAGGTTTTGGATCTAGCCGCAATTATGGCTTCTGCCTTCTTTAATAACAATTCATATTAGGCCTACACTGTAGATCTTAGTTTTAAACTGTTGTCTGTAGGCAACGATTGTGATACAGTTTGAACGATTCAGATAAACGGCAAGTCTAATAGTTGGAGACTCTTTAACTCATATTGAATAGATAGGACCTACCTTAACAAAAATCAGGCCCTAGGCCTAAATAACTTATGTGAGCAAGCAAGTTAAAACCATTTTAGCCTATTACATTAAAGGTTATCATCTTAACCCTCCGAGTGTCCATAGTTTAGGCCTTAATGTCCGCCTATTTTTGGCGCATTTGCAAGGTTTTATTACAACGGATCTGAGAAGCTTAAAACAATGTTAATTCTACTGTTCTATATACCATTTTGTTTGGAAAATCATGGGCTTCAATATTATACATAAAACATAAGGAACATTTGTTTCAAAAAAATTTTTTAGGTAGGCCTAAAAAAAAAATATTTTGGAAAATTTTCAAAAAAAAAAAAAAATAAGTTCGCGCTCAATGAAATTGTATAAATTATAGGCCTATAAATATTTGAAAATAGCCACTTTGTTCTAAATTTTATGAGGATTACAAATATATAATAATATAAGGAAGTAGATTTGCAAATAAATAAGTTATGGGCAAAAAACAGATTTCAGTACATAGCGTTTAGCTAAGAATGCATAGCCTAACCATAGCTAGGAATCTGGCTGATAATTTACATCAATATCACTACCTACTTCTTCAGGATCATCAACCAGCCCTTCAAAATCACTTAAATCTTCTTATAATGCACCACGTATATCACTACTTTTGATTTTTAACACTAAAACATATAAATTCAAATTTATTTTAAAAATTGAAATCTTACTACACATTGTAGTCTGCTGTAGAACAAAGAATAATATTACATTAAATTTTGCAAGTTTGATTAAACCTAATTATGATAGTTGTTATATAGGTGGTTTCTTATAATATTAATAGAAAATTTTATGGCTGTTAAAGATATTAAATATAACACTTGATTTTCCAACTTGAATTTCTTCCAAAATTTCTCAACTTGTTGAGGAATTGTTCCTCTTGATCCAATGAGTAGTCCATATACTTCGAATTTTGATATTTTATATTTCTCTGAATAATATGGGATAGTTTTCTTGTAAATATTTACTTTTTCTTCATGGACTTCCTGTGGCTGATTTTCATTTGTCTCAAGACGAACTGTTGGGTCTATAATGAGACCGAAATCTTTCTCCTTGTCTATAACAATGATGTCACTCCGCCTCACAGAGCCCTCTTCTTCTATAGCCGTGACCTCTTCATAGACCTCGTAACTTTTCTTTCTGAATTGATCAGCAATGATTTTTCTGATGGTATGGTGGCGGGTATTTCGTAGAAGACTACTAAATGGGCACTTTCCAAGGACGTGGGCAAGAGTTTCAAGAGTAAATTTCTCAGATACAGGACAATGCCTGCACTGGTTCCCGTCCCTGGATCTCCCATGAAGACTTCTAAGAGGAATAACGTCTCCGACCATTTTCAAGTATTGTTTGAACTCAGCTTCTGTGAGGCCACAACCTCTAGCCAAATTTTTATTGATCTTGTTACATTCTTTGAAAAGAACCACCCCATTCCCTTTGTATGGAAGTTTACACCAATTTTGATACTCTAAGTCTCGTAAGGTTTCTCGCAGTATCTTGGGTTTTGATTCGAAAAATTCAATACTTAAATTCAATTTTTCCAGACAAAACCTAATTTCTTCGTCAAATTGACGAATATTAAGTAAGTAGGGGTTTCCCGTTTGTTTTAATATGCGACATATGTTTATATGTTGGATTGATGATTCCCACATTGATTTACATAACCCAATCCCTTTGTTTTTAGTACTTGTATAAAACATAGAATTTGGCATATCATTTGGAAGATCTAAGATTTCCTTTGTTGTTGATCTTATCACTTTATCAACATCGTCAAAGAATTTCATTGTAATTTTCTTAATTGGTGCGGTTTGAAAAGGATATATTAAAGATGGCCAAATATTATGATTCAATACATACATTTTTTGTTCAGACCTTAAAAAAGGAGAACATGTTAATTTTTCAATTTTGTTTATCAATGAACTAATTGTTTTTTCAGAGTCAAATACTATGCTTTCAGAAAAATTTACTCCTAAGTACATAAACGTAATAAAACACATCAGTCATCGGTCCGAGGGTAACCTAGCTGTTTACAAACGCACGTCAGCTGTCTGCTGCAATTACGATCGGCTCGGAGAACATAAAGCGCTTAGAGACAGACCTCTGGAGAACGCGTAGAATATAACGAAAAGAACGATACCTAACTCGATCCAGTTCAATCCGATTCAGTCAGTCATAGAGCCTTCGCCGTAAACGATGTTCGTGCGTCGAAAAATCGACGCGTGACACTACACAAAGTGTGTCGCGCGTCGATTTTTCGACGAGTGACGCTCGGAGGGTTAAGGATAGCCTTAGGCTTTGGGACTAAATTAGGTCCCGCCTAAATACCTAAGAGCATTTAGTAACTTATACAATGCAATTTATACAATGCATTGGTCCTATGAAACTTTATTAGGCCTAGAGCCTAAGTTACCGGTATTTTACTGGTACCTACCTACCCTTGTTGTACCTTAAGCCTTATAAAACCATTATTCTTTGGAAAAAGCATTAGGCCTATATAAGCTAGGCCTAGGCCTAGCCTATGGCCTAAGTCATTTACATCAAGATACAAGATACATCAAGATAGGGCCTAGGCCTAAGTTTAATAAGACCATCTGCAAAAATAAAGAATTACTTATGTAGGGCCTACATAGGCCCAAGCCTAGGCTATTTAAGCTAGGCTATGTCAGGTTATTAACAAGTGAAAAGAGTAGGCTACCTGAAACTCACCGTGCAAAACAGCACGTAATCGGAAAACATCTGTTAAAATAGTAGGTAGCCTACCTAGTTGCTTACTTGGTCCTTAAGTTTTAAAAAATAATCCACTATGTCCAATTGATAGGTTAGGAGGACACATTGCACACCCTACCCTACTCTTGAATCTACCAAGGCCATGTCTACCTGGGTCTAACACTTGGGCCTTCTATCCAACAAATAGGCCCTAGGTTTTGGTTTAAACAGCTCTGAACAGACCTTAGCTGCCTAATTAACAGAGAATCAACCAAGTGACAAAGCCAAGAATTCAGACTAAGGCTAATTTCTTACTTAGGATAGTCTTGCCTTTGCAGCCTAGGCCTAGGCCTAGGTCTACCTTAGTGATCTAACCAACCTAGGCTATCACATTATGGTGCAACCGATACACCTTGGCTGTCACATTACCTTACTAATAAACTTAAGTTTTTTTCAATATAACAGTAATATAGCCATAGGCCTATACAACATACAATCAAGCGTGGTCCTACCTTAAGATATAAGAGTAGGGAAGGTAAGTTAAAACTTCAGACAAGAAGACGAAAAGCCATTATCGTGCAAATGTCTCTTGACTGTTTAAGTTCGACTATTGTATTTTTTATGTTCGCACTAAAGTATGATCTATAGTATTTAAAAAATATAAGAACACTTGTGAGGCAAATTTATACAGTTATTTCAAAATACACTAAGCTTTCTAAAGTAACAACACGTCCGCCATTACTTTTCTTCTATACGGATTATACGGAAAAGAAAACCACTCCACACTCCACGGCCACAGTTCTTTCGTCGACCAAAGAACGAGCGGAAAGTGTGGATTTTTTTTGTAGTCGACTGTTCTAGACTTCCGCCAAATGATTCGAGCTACTATATTCAGTTCGATATAAGTACTCGAAGTACAGGTCTTTCACCTATCCCCTGACAACGCCGATATGTATAAGGTATCGTAACCGATATGGTATCGTTTTTGTTTTGAATCGAAATGAAATCGTATTGAAATCGAATGATACAGTCTTATATCGGAAAACGAATGAATAGATAATACTGATTCCCTGCCAACCAAATAGCAAAACCGTTAAGCAATGGCTAAATTCAAAGATAGCCAAATCCATTTTGTAACCAGTACTTATGATGACTTTCAAAAATAAGTTACAAAGCGTATCTGACATTAGTAAAATGGTATCTATATATATAATACGCTAAGCCGATTTTTGTGAACAGAACTCCTCCCTCACTTTTGGACCGATTTTGATGATTAAAATGTCAAAAAAATTGCCCTGATCTGTAGTTTTGCAAAGTGTTTTTCGTTTTTTGATATCTTTATTAGTTTGGGCAGGATCTTCCACCAAAGTTGCATTTTCTCCCATAAGATTAACATGGGGGAATCTAAAAATTTAATTGGAAACTTTGTCTCCACTAATTTGAGAGAGCGGCTGGGCGTAGAAACTTGGTAGGGGTGTCAAAAGAAAGGTCTTGGTCTGTAGATGGGTTATCAAAAGAAAAACTAAGTAAATTCCCTTAGGGCTCTGCCCCAGAAGCCTTTAAAGATCCCTCTACAGATTTGTTTACATTTTGGCCATGTGGATAATACTTTTTAATGAAACAGCTGTTAATTTGTAAATTGTATTTTAAACAAGACACATTAATTGGGAGTTACTGAATTGTCCAAAAGAAGCATTTGTAATGTTATTTTCTGATTTTAAAATTAATTTTTTTCTGTATCATGTTATGTTTTGCAATATATACCATGACGAAATCAGTGGAAAATCCTTTTATCACAGTAACTCTTAAAATTATTTCTTATTGACCTTATATCTATTTTACAGGCTGGTGACTGCCCTTTTCACCATTTTTGTCTTAATTTTTATCATATTGTTCTAGACAGATCATCATAGGTTCATGAGATTATTGTCATACATGTTTTCAATCATTGGAAAAATATTAAATTGTGTAATACAATACAAAATAATAGCCTACAAGTGCAGAAGGGCACGGTGCCTATTTGAGCCATGTCCATATTTTGTTAAATTAATAGTAGTTTACAGCAACTGGATAAAACATTTTACAATATTTATGTAGAAATATTTGCATGATAAATAAAGTCATTAAGCTGGAAAACTGCAATATACTACAGACTTTTCAGAGAGGTTACTTCGATGTATTCATTCAGCTTAGTGAAAACATGTATAGATACGTACCTATACAAATAAGAAGAACTTGAATTCTTAGAGAGCCTTTGAATGTTATTAGACTAACGAAAAGGGTTGTGCATGTTTACTAGCGCTACTTTGCAACAAAAACCATTTAATTTATCTCCAAAATATATATTCTTAAATATATTCTTATATATTCTTTCACTGATCAGCAAAAAAAAAAATCTATGTAACTTACCCATATGTTATTGAAAATAACACAACATTTTGGCTGTAAATATGGCCCAATGAGTAAATAATATTTAAACAGCTACTGTCATGAAAGAAAGCAAGAAAGGTCATATTTCTTTTAAACTAGATCACATCATCCTTTATAAGATACGTTGATTAACAATGTATGTAAACGTCAATATTTACGTAACAGCAAATTTACAGTATTTTTGCTTTTTGGAAATGTCCCATTGCTATGTCATTTGCATTATTTGTTGTCAATGAAGCCGCATATAAATGAGGAGGCCCCTAACAGTTTAAGAATAAAAGCCAACTTCACTTCAAGTATATTCCACTACACCTCACATTCCTAGAGAGATTATATTGACAACTTTATGTAATTGATATGGCTGAGACAACTAACTGACATCCCCCATGTCAAGGAATTCCAGCTTTAACAGTAACCCCACAACAAATTTCTCAAAACTGTGATAGAGGGTTATTCATTAGCACAGAAGTACGATATGAACTGACGCGACGTGACGAAGGAAAAATCAAACTTACACTGTAATGGATATCTCCCTTTGAAGTTAGAACGTGTCTTCCCAACAAACAGATATTTTTTTCAAATAAAATCATAGATTAATCTGCATTACACTGATGAAATCACGGAAGTGTTTAACTACAAAAGATCCACCAATACGATTTTAATACTATTTAAAGTTTAATCCAAACGATGAGATACCAGATAATATACTAATAACTCCGATGACGTACAGTATGGGAGATATTTTATTCATTGAATGATCAACCATATTTTGGTAACTATCATTATTGTTTTTACACTTATTAATCTTTAAACAATGCTAAATGCTCAAAATATGTACAAATTCACTCAATTTATCGCAGTTAGATGAATTAGCGTAATCCTTGAAAATAACCGTCGATTTCGACGGGTTTCACCTAGTATACTATAATAGTTGGGCAGATATTGATTTTGTCGCTAGCTTTTTTGCTTCCATTAAATGTTTTAGGAAGATGTATAGAATAAAAACAGTTCAGCTCCATGAGCAGGATTAAAAATATTAATTTATAAGCATTATATGGCACAAAAGTCAACGCTTCCAGGTTGCATCTTTTATCAATCCTTTTGTACAAATTATCAAACATTTTAAAACTTTCTTGTGATACTTGAGTGTTGCATGTGTAACCGTTGATACGGGTGGTTGCCATATTAGCCCAAGCAAATTAGGAAAAATAAAGGAACAAATCTATGTATTCCCAATTTTTTCAAAAATGTGTCAGGGAGGGTCCCCTAATGAATATATGATAGGTGAGAATAAAATCACCCTGCCGCTCTCTGGTGGTGGGAGGTGTAAATGCCCCAATTTGCGGTTTTTTGCTTATAACTTGAAAACGGCGTGTCGTAGCTTAAATTGTTCAGCGTAATAGTTAAAGCTTATTAAATTTGCTACAACTTTGATCATATACATTATTAGTGAAAGACGCATAGTTTCTGAGATATCCGCGCTAAAAAAAAAATAATAATGTTCAAAAAAAGTTTTCATCCCACATTTTTTGTTAAAATCTTATTTGTTTCTCCTTCTCTGTTATTTTTCAGATATATTGACAAAAAGAAGGTTGTAGATATTTTTTTTTTTTTTAAGAGGTTAGCGGCCTCTATTAACCTTGCATTTGCCCGTCCACATAGACTACAGATCTGTGCGTGGTACGTATCCAGCAAAGCAAGGGGTGAGCCGGTACAGTACAAAGGTGAACTGTACTGATAAAAGTTAGTGGCAGAGTGACCAGGATCCGAACCCTCGACACTTCTGCCTTGGGCCCAAAGTCCGCGACGCTACCGACTGAGCCACCGACTCACCAAATTAAATTAAATTAAATTAAATTTACTTCAATAGTATATACAAATATGTAAATAGATAAGATGTAGGTATAAAGTTACAGTATTTTTAAGATTAGAAGACAAAATTATGAATTACACAAATAGTGGCAAAGTTTTGATTTTTTATCATTGCACGATTTGTATGGTTTATGATAATTGTTTAGGCCAAATATAAGTATATTTAAGGTAAAAATGTTTAATAGTTATGTAAATAACAATTTGACAAAATAAAAAGGTTCTCTATTTATTACGACGATCCAAGTTAAAACAATTGAAACATACAAAAAAATTCATACTTAATTATAGAACTAATGTTAACTGAGCCTTTGTTCTTGCAAAAAAAAGGCTAAGGTAACATTAGTTCTATAATTAAATATTCTAGTTCTTGCCACTGAGAAATACATCACAAATTCATGTTATGATAAAGATTGATCTTATTCTTTTCATTGTCTTCTTCATCATCATCTTCACATTGTTGTTGCATGGTTCAGGCAAGCTCCCCCGCAGGTACATAGGTACCTGGGAACAGTGGATGCAGTTTTTTCTGCATCCACACCTGGATCCACATTCAGTAGGCTCAGTCAACATTAGTTCTATAATTAAATATGAATTGATTTTGTATGTTTTAATTGTTTTAACTTGGATCATCAAAATAAATAGATAACCTTTTTTTTTGTCAAATTGTTATTCACATAACTATTCCCATCTTTTTCCTTAAATATACTTATATTTGGCCTAAACAATTATCAGAAGCCATCAAATCGTGCAATGATAAAAAATCAAAACTTTGCAACTATTTGTGTAATTCATGATTTTCTCTTTTAATCTTAAAAACGCTGTAACTTTATACCTACATCTTATCTATTTACATATTTGTATATCCTGTTGAAGTAAATTTAATTATCTACAACCTTCTTTCCGTCAATATTTCTGAAAAATAACAGAGAAGGAGAAACAAATAAGATTTTACAAAAAATGTGAGATGAACATTTTTTTTCGAACATTATTTTTTTTTGCGCGGATATCTCAGAAACTATGCGTCTTTCACTTATAATGTATATGATCAAAGTTGTAGCAAATTTAATAAGCTTTAACTATTACACTGAACAATTTAAGCTACGACACGCCGTTTTCAAGTTAAAAGCAAAAAACCGCAAATTGGGGCATTTACACCTCCCACCACCAGAGAGCGGCAGGGTGATTTTATTCTCACCTATCATATATTCATTTGGGGACCCTCCCTGACACATTTTTGAAAAAATTGGGAATACATAGATTTGTTCCTCTATTTTTCCTTATTTGGACTTTTTTGCTTGAACTATATAACCGAAACCCAATAATATTTGACCGAACGGCTAGATTGAGTCGTAATATACCATCAATGATTCACAATTATTTACTATGCCACAAAGCCATAGGCTATGTCACTCACAATCGAAAACCTATCGCAATTCACATTTGACTCTTTATTTATGTCATTTTATTTGTATGACCATTGATCACATCGTTGACTTCAATCACGGCCACACCCAGCCCGCGGACTCCAGGCCGGGGCCTTCGAAGTGGCAACGTTGCAAGTAGTGTTGTAACAGCTGTTTTTGAGGCAGCTAATAATGGTATTTGAATACGAAAGCTTGGTTACTGGGATATGAAAATATTGACTGCAATTTAAAATGTTCAGGAATAGATTTTCAATTTATATTGTTTTGGTTTTCAATTCTATATATTTTATTTTAAATCTTTTAATAAATTGATATTAATAAATTTAAATTTAAATTAACAATACAAGAATTAATGAGCTGGTGTCACCTGTCTGCCATGATATCTTATGGGACAACTCTGGCGCTAAACAACATTACTTGTGACGTTGCCAATTCTAGCAGGCCGCGGCCTGAAGTTAAAGGTGACCATGCTGAATTATATATAATCAATTATCAAATATATTTCAAATAACATTACATCAAATAATATAATGTTTTGTTTTGCAACTTGTATCTTTTACCATAAATTAAACATGATCACTTACTGTATTATTTCAATTCAATGACTCTACGGACGTTGTTTAAAGTGACAAAGAATATACTGGATTTAAAGTCAGTGTCCTTTACTTACAAAATATTTAAATAGTACAGTAGTTTACAGGATCTTCTATACCACTCATACGTTTACGTTGACCTACTTAACCTTTATCGATGCCACATGCCGTGACTGGATTCTTATTTCATGCTGCTAAATTAGCTGCAGAATGGGGATCAACTCTTTTCCTTTTTAAACCACTCCAGTTTTTTTCCCGTTCAAACAGAACTCTGTGAGATGTTATAACTATACAGATAATGAACTTATATTAGGAATCTATGTTAAAGGTATAACTGATCAGACAGTCATTCAGTACGATACACATGCGACTTTTTATTTATTTTTGTTAGATTTTGTTAAAACAACCACAATCGTTCCATGGTGTAGGCCTAATACCGACCATAAACAGAGTGAAGTTAAATATGGGGATCCGTTTAGAATTTTTAAGGATTGCCATAAGCAGATGACATTAAAAATAATATTCATTGGTAATCCGGGGGATATATAGCACTATCATGAAAACAAGCCCACATGAACTTTACCGATGTAACACCAAAACTCTTGGGCCGATGTCTGATGTATTACACGAGGCAGCAAAAGACACAATTTTGTACTATAAATGACAAATACATTTTACAATATGATGAGAAGTCTTACTTACTTACTCCCTCGTTAATTTCGTCGACCAGCTCTTGTTCGATAATGGAATGAAATGAAATGATATTTATTCATCTATATACATTATTTAAATGCATGAGACACAGTCAAATTATATAACCGGATATCAAATTATATATACGGACCTCCAGAAAGCGTTCGACAGCCTTGACAGAGCCATCCTAATAAACAAATTAAGACAACTCAACATCAACAACCTGGCTCTTAAATGGATTATCAACTACTTCTCAGATCTAAACCAACGAGTTGAAATTGAATATACCAACAAAAATTCTTCAAAATTAAAACAAGATCCACCCTCACAACAACAATACAAGGAATTCCCAAGGCTTCATTCCCGGACCCCTTTTCTTCATTATTTATACAAACTCTTTATTCCCGGACTTTCTGCCCATGGAAAAACCCATCATAATGTATGCTGACGCACCATTTTATCACCAACTTTACCTCAAAATGAGAACTCAACCACCGAAGAGACCCTGAAACTGGCTGCTGGCATTTAGTCCACATTAAATCTACAAATTCACAAATCCAAAACAATCAACGTAAATTGTTCAACAATCAACCGAACCAACCCTTTTTACCCCCAGCCAACCCAAACAAATCAGGATCCATAGCCTCAGCCACAACAACTGAATTCCTTGGCATTACCATTGCCAGCAATATAAATTGGCATGACCATATCTCCTCACTGGAAAACAAACTATAATCCAAAATAACTTTAAAATACACAGGTTTTAACGTGCAATAACTTAAGGGGATATGACAGTGAAAATGCTTACTTCCTTAACATTATCACTAGGTCTTTCAAACTTATACCATGTGTTTTATAGGCATAAGAATAGGTATAAACATAGTTAAAAGTAATTTTTTTCGTAAAGTACACCCTTAATATTTTTTTTTAGGTAATTAACTAAATTTGATATAACTTCAGTTCTAATTATTGGATTTTAATCATTAAACCATCAGTTTTTTGTACAAGTCCTTGAAATAACGGATAACCCTAAATAAATAGTATATAGTTAGGTAAGAATGAATTCGGATTTGACAGCATCCCACCAACCGATCATACGTCCAACCTAACAACACGAAACACCGAAAACAAACCAGCAAAAACAGTGGCACGTTTTTCTCTAATGTTTAACCAGAGAGTAGTGACTTCAGTTAATCTATTTAACTAAATGCTACTGACCTAGCCTACTACAACAACAACGCGCTATAATAATGCCCATAACGAGAAGGAAGCACAATTTGTTTTTCAGGACTAATTTTGCCAACAGTGTCATTTAGAGGCTTCTAATTGACTATAACGAAGGTTTAGTAATTGAAAAATTATTTTTGTTCATAGAATAAAATTATAAATGCCTCAAATTCAATTTTATATTTTTTTATTATGAAATTAAACTATCATAACCTAACCAAACTAACCAGACTTGCTAATAATGAAAAATCAAATAAAGGTTTAACAGAAAAAAATATTTCTGTTCATAAAATAAAACTATAAATGGGTCAAATTCAATTTCATAATGTTTTAATTATAAAATTAAACCGTCATAACCTAACCAAACCAACCAAACTTGTTGATAATGAAAAAAATCCAATACAAAAATTGTGCTACGGGTGGGATTCGAACTCGGGTCCTTCGGATCTTCAGCCCAGCACTCTATCCACTTCACCAGCGAGGCCGTTGGCATCAGCCGTATCGTCGCGGTAATGATGTTCCCTCAGCCAATCAGAAGCCTCAAAATAATACTGTAGGCAACACTAATCCTGAAATAAAAATTCAGCGAGAAGGAATCGAGGAAACGTACTGAACTCGACTGAAAATTGAAAATCTTCATTATTTACTAGAACTAGAATAGAAGAAGAAGAATTCAATTCAATCCAGTCGTGATCGACCTCGACCAGACCAATGGGGGAATGTTTATGGCATTTAGCTTAGCTTGCTTGCTTAAAGCAATAAAGCAATGCTTGCTTAATGTCATTACGTAGTAAACACTAAAATTATGTTTACGGATGTATGAACTGTTATACTTCGATTATTGCTTTTTCAATATTAGGTTGAACATATTCAGAGGACAAAAATATTCCAAGGTATTGTAGTAGCCTACCCTATTTTCGCAACCACTTTTAGCTATAATACTTAGATATAGTAACACAAAACCTTTCCTAACCTCACTTAAAATGACCGGCACAGCGTTTAATTTTCTCGCAACAACACTAAGATATATTCTAATTCGTTGATTATTATTGAACCTTATTGGGCAGGATCCACATTCCCTCATTCTTGACAGATCTTGGATTTAGGCCACGTTATTCTGGTTATTCAGCTTCTTGAACTGCGTTGTCATATAGGCTATCTAGGTAAGCGTAGCCTATACCCATTCATAGACCTATGTGTGTCAACCTTTGAGTCCAGCTTGATCTTTAGTAATAGTGTTACAGTAAAATGCAAAGAAAACGCTAATTAAACCTAGCCTTCCATTGCCTTTTTAGTAAACTTAGGACAATCTTAATTAGGTCTGATCAGCTCTGATTTTATCGAGGTTAAAGGTGTACCCCAATGCTTTGTGCTTGGTCCTTTCTTGTACCTGATTTTTTTAATGACATGTATTGTAATGACCCTTATTTGTCAGTACCTACTCTACGCTGATGACACAACCTTATGTTCAGATCCTTTAAATGTTTCGAATGTAGGCCTATGTTAATCAACCGCTCTCAAATGCCCTCCCTAGCCTCTTCCAAAAGCTGGTTTGCATTCAATCATAAATGAGCAAACAACTTAACTTAATTAATTAATTTTTTTCTTGATTACAAAAAGTGATGTTTACCCTAACTTTTGGGTTTCACTTTAGACAGCTAGCTGACTTGGAAACCTCATTTCCGTAATCTTTGTAAAAAATAATGGTACTGTGGTATTATGCGTATTCCACTTATTTTAGAGGGATTTTTTTACCGACGACCCAAAATAACTACATAATTGGAAAGAACATAGCCTACTTTAATTGACTTAGGCTACTGTCCAAATTTGACATGATTATGATTAGTGGCCTTTGAGTTCTGCCTCCCAGAAGGCAGCGAAGTCGGCGAGGATTGAGTTCAATGCGTCGCCGCCCTAGCTGCCACGTGTACTCCGCCAATTAGGTATACAGCCCGCTATGGCGGTTATGTTAGGTTGGGTTATCATTTTATGTTTGTAGGACTTTCCTCGTTTGTTATGAATCTAACGATACCAGATGAGTAACGATACTAGAATACAGGCTGTGACACGTGATACGAGCACTCCAGTCAACCACCTGACCTTGGCCTACTTGGAGGGGATTTGGCGGGCAAAATTAGGCCTATAACTCATCTGGTATCGTTCGATTCATAACTAAACGAGGAAAGTCCCACAAACATATTTATTTTAAACCAACCTAACATAACCGCCCCAGCACGCTGTATAAAGATGGCCTCCGGATAATACCAAAGTACCTTAAAATAATCTAGAATAATATCCTATCTAGGCCCTAATGAGAATTCTAAAGCAATCAGTAAGCTCTGATACACTGCTACTTTTTTTTGTGATAGGTTTAATACCTACCTTAATACCTCCTCCTTCGTCTTTTACCCACAAAGTGGGATTGACAGTCACTTATCAGGGTTACTGAACAAAAACATATATTTACAACTATTTACAATACTTCCGGCAGGCTACAGGTTCCTTTAGTCATCCCTTAGGGCCTGGATATTCTGAGATGTCATAATAGGTCTGGCTCTTGATGAAAGAGGTTAACACTGCCACAACAAGTTTTTAGATCCAACAACTGGATATGACGTGGCAGCTTATTAAAAAAACTTATTAAAAACTTAAGCTTAGGTCTTAGATAATCACACCCTGGGTAATTTACATCAAGCTGACGGCGTTGCCTGGTGTTATGCTGGTGGATGTCATCACGAGTGCTAAAGTTGGTTATATTGGCCTTAACGTATACTAGACAGAGAAGTATGTAGTGGCCAACTACAGTAAGCAAACCAAGTTGTGCAAAGAGGGGTTTGCAATGAGCACGATACTCACTCCCAGTAATAATCCTTATTGCACACTTCTGGATCCTAAGCACTTCTACAACCTTTGGCGAACGTCCGCAGAGAAGAAGGCCACAGTTGAGATGGCAGTGAAAGAGGGCATGGTACACCATCACCAAGTAGGCCTATGCCTCCGTTACGCAGAATTTAAGTTTGAGGAGGAGGAAACAGATCTGTGAGAGTCTGTTGGTGGTCACCAGGCTGATTTCTGGAAAGGCTGCAGATGATGTGCTGCGTCTTATCCTTGTTGAGTTGAAAACGGTTAGCCAGAAACCAGGCAGTTGTTTCTTCAAGGCGCTGTCTGGATATGTCCAAAGCCTGGTTGATGTTGATGTTGGTTGGCTGGTACCAGCTGACAGGAGAGAAGTGTCGCCTGCAAACATGAGGGTAGTTCCAAGGTCGTCAAGATCATTGATTATGATGAGAAAAAGGTAGTCCAAGCACTGAACCCTGAGGAACACCAAAATCAACAGGTAGAGTGCTGGAGACAGCTCCACAAACTGCTATGACCTGCGAGCGTCGTTCAAGGTAGGTACTCAGGATGGCAAGAACAGCATCCCTGATCCAATAGAAGTGGATTTTCCTTTTCTAGATGGAGTGGGAGACACAATCAAATGCCCTTCTGATATCACAGAGGGTCAGAGAGAGAGCTTGACAGTTTTCAAATGCGTTTTCCTTGCTCGCAGCAACTTTCGCAACAGCATCAACCATTGACCTGCCCTTACGGAAGCCAAATTGCATGTTCGAGAAGAGGTTAAGTCCCTCAAAAAATGCTTCAAGCTGGGGTTTTATGGTGGCTTTAACCACCTTCCAAAGACAGTGTTAGAGATGGGCCGATAACTATTAAGCTTCTGGTGGTCACCCTTCTTGTAGATAGGGACAGTTTTCGACGTCTTTAGAAAGTCTGGGAAGACGCCACAACTTCTAGTTTTCTACTGTGGACTCTTTCAATGCTACTTTCTGCTACAGTAGACTCCCTCTTATCCGGACTCCTCGGGACCGAGGCCAGTCTGGATAACAGGTTTTCCGGTTAAACCGACGTCTGTAAAAACTCGTTAAAACAGACTGTTTACTGTAATATTCTACTTAAATTTAGGAGAGCATTGTATTTAGACACGTGATCACTGGTCTCAAATCTTTCCCACGAGAACCCACTTCCTGCCGATCTAGTCCAGTTAAACTAATGTGCTGATAAAAATTGTCCAGTTAAAGAGATGTAATTTCCGCCGAGTGTAGTCCGGTTAAACCGATGTCCGGTTAAAATGTGTCCGGATAAGAGGGAGTCTACTGTATTGTATTTGTCTGTAGGGACATTTGTGCCATGTAAACAAGTTTTCTGGTGGCAAAAGAAGGCAGTAAGACTCCTTTACAACCTGAGACATGGTCAATCAGGTAAAGCAAGTTTTCACTACCCAGTTTAAAATCCTAACCATGCCATCTGGGTATATTTTAAACACTAAGAGTCTATGTTTAACAAAATATCAACTCATTTGCTCCTCAAATTCTCATCATGATTACCTAACTAGATTACATTTTAACCTTGTGTACTGTCTTAAAACAGATATACTAATTTTTATAGTTTTCAACTGACTTAATTGTTTGTTTGTTTTTGTTTTTGTTTGTGTTAAATGATGTTTTTGAAATGAAGTAAAAACTATGTAACATAATGTTAGTTTAATTTTATATTTAAAACAGTTTACAATGGTGACGAGGAGGAGGAAGGGTGAGAGACACCAGGAGCTAGTAGAAGAAGGTATATTAACACCCAGTCAACCTATTTACTGTTCTAATCTTGATAAATTCTATGAGGACGATGAGACATGGAGTTCATTCATGGTAAGGTTAGACAACTTTTTTTGAACTAAACGGAATCACGTCAGAATTTAAAAAAAGCAGTACTTGATCATTTTGATAGCACCTAAAGATTTCACGACCTGAGAATTAATCTCAGCCCATGTGACATTGAGGATAAAAGTTATGACGAAGTGTGTGAAGCTTTGCAATTATTACTGGAACCTAAGGGAAGTATTATTGCAGAAAAACATAAGTTCACTAAACAAATCCAGAATCCGTGTGAATCTGTAGGCAGCTTCGCCAAAGATCTGAAAACCTTAGCCAGTAAATGTGATTTTAAATGTCCAAAATGTAATGCATCAACATCTGACGTTCACCTGCGGCGACAATTATTTTGGGAATTCATGATGGAAAGTTGCTGTCTAGATTAATTGAAATTCACAAAAATAAAACGTTTAACGTTGTCTTGAAATAGAAAGTAACTTTGAGCAAATCAAAAGTGAAACAACAAAAATCCAAGAATCAAATTTGCAATCAAAAGTTGGAGAACAATTTCAGATTTGAGGGAAGAAAAGCGCTGGATATTTGCAAGGAAGAAAGGGTAGTAACATATCATGTTTCAGGTATGGGGGACACCATCACATAAGTGCGTGCGAAATTCCAGCAGACATTAAATTTTGGAATTGTGAGAGGAAGGGACATCTCAGCAAAGTTTGAAGGAGAAAGAAACAAAACATGCGACAAGCTAATGACGCTTCGACAGGTAATAAGTATGAAGAGGAAGGTGAGTGTCAAAATCCACCTTTTATGTCAATGTTATCCATTGTGGATAGAAAGAAGAAATGTACTAAATTGTCTAAGCTCTCGGATGATCCATATCAACCCGAAATGGTCAACAGGCCGGGAAAGATTATGTTAGAGTGCACCATTGACGATAAGCGTAACTCTTTTGAGTTAGATACTGCTGCGGTCAGTACTATACCGCTGCATCTGTTTAAGAAATTATTTTCAGATAAGATCCTAAATAGAACAAGAATGCCGTTAAGAACCTATACAGGAGAAATAATTCGCCCGGTAGGGTTTGCGACTGTCGAAATTTGCTTTGAAAATCAAATATCTGTGGGCAACCTGGATGTTATTCGGGGAAATGTAGACAATATTTTTGGAAGGGAATAGTTAAAGTTGTTCAAAATTGAGCTTCCTTCATTAAGTCAGGTATCAGAAGATCATACAGA